GTTGTGGCAAACCTAGAGACTGTGACCGCAGACCAGATGCTGGAAAACTTCCACACCAACTCTGTTGCCCCTTTGATGATCACCAAGGTTTCGTTTCTCTGCACAATATAAGCACATATCTTCTGCTGTCATCACGAACGTCTGAAACCACACTAACTGAACTTGTCATGCAGGCCATGCTTCCTCTGCTGAAGCGAGCAGCTGCAAAGGGGACAGGGATGGGGATCCACAGAGCGGCAGTCATCAATGTAACGTCCCTGCTGGGTTCAGTTGAGCTCTACTGGGGTGATCGTGCCGACACTTTCAAATGGTACCCTTACAGAACTTCTAAGGTTTGTGAGATTGTGTTTGTGGAGTTCAACAATGTTGACCAGTATCATGTGAATTTTGTTGATCATCTCCTAACAAGGCCACAGTGAAAGGTCTGGATAGATTAGATGAGAACAGTCTATATCAGTATAAATTTCAGGTCATAATCAGTGTGTTAAAGGCAAAGGAAATAGGTATGAATAAACATCTGGGTGATTTTTCAGGTTTCGTGGTGTCCACTGTTGTAATAAGGGTATGTGACAACAAGGGTAGGGTCCAAATGCAGCTTCTATTTAGCAAAGTCAGGCAGGTAAGGTTAGAACAGGAGCAAACAGAAGCATAAAGGTAATCCAAAAGAGTTATTGTAAAAACAGGCTAAGAGAAATATAAACATTCAACAAACAATGGTCAAAACACAGCAAGACAACAAAGAAAAATGCTTTGTGAAGCTGTGGTCACACGGAACTTTTCTCTTCGTAGACTTACATTCATTCGCATGCGAATGTGGCTGACCGAAAATGCAAGCTCGTCTTGTTTAATCACGTTGTCTAATCATCTTCTTTAATCCCTCCCCCTTTCACAGCGATATATGACAGAATTGCGCATGCTCAAACTCTAGTGTGACCACAGCTTAATGCTCACAGATAGCTAGACTCAGACTGGATGTCTGTGTGTGTAATCAAGAGGTGACCAGAGTAGGGTCGCATCAGTTGATCGGAAGTTCTTTCTTAAACTGGAACGTAAAGTCTACACTAGGGGCTTAGTAACAACTAGCTAGTTTGTAACTATATTTGTTCTCACTTTGGTTGCACCACATGTTCTTAGGGCAAACCATATTTAGTAGGTCGTAAGCTCTTCGTTAAGTCATGCTTAGTCACATTGAATGACGTAATATCCAATAAAAAACATTTAAATCGTTAAACTGCATTAAATTCTGCAACTAATGCATATATGTATAACTGTCTTATGAAAATTTCATTACAAATTACATTTTTATAGCACTTTAAATGAGTCAGTTACTAATAACAGACGACGCACACACTTGCATCGCAAGCCTTGAACGCACGGAAAATTGAATGCACACAAAGTTATCAAAACATTGAATTTCTTTATACCCTACTAATGAAAGAGAAAAGAGCATGAAGAAAAACTCAGTTATGAAGAAATTCTCATTTTAATTGATGAATACAATTAACAAAACACTGCTTGAAAGAAAATGAGAAATTATGGCTGTGAGTAGATCGCAAGGTCCTCAAAGTAAACTAATCTAGCTATCATCTCTTTTCTACCGTTATATGGGGAGGCTGCGGTAAATATTTAGTTATAACTTAGCATTAAATTTAAACTAAGTTCAGTGGTGCAACACAAAAATATTTTGTAATGTGTGCAACTTGGTATACCTTTAAGTCACAACTAGGCTACGTTTTAACTTACGCAATGCTGGTGCAACCGGCCCCTGAAACCGGTGTGTAACTACGGGGCATAATGGAATATGTAGTTCGGGTGAATGACAGGTAGTGTTCTCCAGCGATCCACAAGGGCTACATCGCTGGTGATCATGACCATTCATCTGTGAATTTGCACTGTTTTGCAAGCACAATAGTTCATCTCATCTGCATATACTTTAAATTTAAATTTATGCAAATTAAAATTAGGACGAAAATGTCTTTTAAATGCATTTCTTTGTTGAAACATTTTGTTTACATCTTGAAACAGGTACAACTGTACAGTGGAGATCAAATTAAGAGAATAATTTGTAAACACATTTGTTTGAAGAAAGAAAAATTTGAAGAACGAAATATTAGTTGTGGCTATATCATGATATTAGTAGTGTCCTGTCCACTTGTGCATTTGCTTTTTGTGGATGACCAGCCTTTTTGGGGGACCTAAAGGGATAGTTCATCCAAAAATTTAAATTTTCTCACTATTTCATTTAACCTGGTAAGGTTTGAAACCTTTTGAGTTTTTTTATTCTGTTAGAACACTAAACATGCTACTTTGAAAAGTTGAATACCAGTAACCATTAACATCTATAGTTGGAAAAACAAATACTAAAAAAATCAATGGTTACCAGTTTCAGATTTTTCCAAAATAATTTTTTTTTTGTGTTAAACAGAAGAAAGTCAAACTGGTTTGGAACCAGTGAAGGGTGCGTAAATAGTTACAAAATGTTCAGTTTTGAGTGAACTATCCTATAGTCAGTGATATTAATATGCCAATTTCTAGAAATCATAGATTTTAAATTACCAACTATTCTTGCTGTGACTGAAACTTCATCTGAACAACCTGTTTTTGGAGGTTTTCAGTCACTTTAGAAGGGCTCAACATCTTGTAATGTCAGTGAAGACTGGAAAGTTTGGTAGCCAGTTAAATTGGATTTGTCAGATAATTAAGGAAATAACTATCAGATTACAGATGGACACCAGTACCTAAGAGGAATTTGATGGTGTTCCTTAATTTTGGTCAGTGTTCTTTAAAATGTAACATTTTTTATACTATTTATGCTTCTGAAGTCAGAGTACAACTCTTAAAATATGCATCTTGAATTCTGCACTGTACATCTGAGAGCATATCGGCTAATATATGGAGTTTGATTTGACTTGTATCAGAGCGCATTGAACATGGTCACCAGATGCTTGGCAGTGGATCTCGAGGCAGATGGCATCCTGTGTATGGCTCTGCATCCAGGCTGGGTGCGCACTGATATGGGTGGACCTGAAGTGAGTCTCTTTCTGTTATCTCTTACTTGCCAGTGCTGTCTGTTGTTGTGCTAATCAAACTTAACAACTTTTCAAAACTACAGTAGTGATAAACGCTTTTGGTGTGTTTTTGTCTATACAGGCACCATTGAGCCCTGAAGAAAGCATTTCCTCTGTGTTGTCTGTGATTGGTGGATTAACCGAAAAGGATCATGGGTCATTTCTACATTATACTGGGGAAACACTTCCCTGGTGAAGCTGTCGATTTTTGTCAATTGCAGCGATAGACGATTTCCAATTGTTTTGCTTTATACATGTTTACTTATTTATTAATATACATTTTTGTTCAGGTTATATTTATTTTATTTGCTGTAAAATGTTACTCACTGATATTCAGGGTGTGAATGTGATCCGAGTGGATCATGATTGAATAACTTCAATTTTGGCGTTAAAAAAGCTTTGAAATTATCTATTTACTGGTATAATATGAAAGTAGTTTTTCCACTTATTTGTCTTTAAATGCAAAACCAAAGAAACTATTCTGTTAGATTTTATTTGTATTAATAGTCACAAGCTGTCTCAAAAATAAAGTACTTATTTTTTTCATAGTTTTGTAATGCTTAAAGTGCAAGCTTTTCGAATTAAAGGTTGTATTGAGGTTAAATGTGTTTTCTTTCTGATCATTTATTGTTAAAATGTATTATATCCTAAACCATTTTGAATGTTATATTCATTATGTAACTGATAAAAGTCATCACCTTTTCAAGTTTTAGGAACAACAAATAACTTGACTTGTAGTTGATCATTTGGTGTTAGAAGTGGCTTATATGAAAGACAAAGGTCTCAAATCATGCCTATTTTACCAAAATAAAATATGATCATGACCTGATTTAATTATCAAATTAGGACAGCAAGGTCTGACTTTGCTTGGACAAAGGTCTTGTTACTTAACAGAAATAATGTTCTGTATAGAATATAAAGTCATGGTGCAGTGGGAAAATAATTAATATTGTGTATGACTCCCATGAGCTTGGATGACTGCATCCATGCATCTCTGCAATGACTCACATAACTTATTAATAAAGTCATCTGGAATGGCAAAGAAAGCATTCTTGCAGGACTCCCAGTGTTCATCAAGATTCTTTGGATTCATCTTCAATACCTCCTCCATCATCTTCCGCCTACATGCTCAATAATGTTCATTCTGGTGACTGGGCTGGCCAATCCTGGAGCACCTTGACCTTCTTTGCTTTCAGGAACTTCGATGTTGAAGCTGAAGTATGAGAAGGAGCGCTATCCTGCTGAAGAATTTGCCTTTTCCTGTAGTTTTGAGCAGCACAAATTTCTTGATACCTCAGGCTGTTGATGTTGCCATCCACTCTGCAGATCTATCACATGCCCCCATACTCAATGTAACCCCAAACCATGATTTTTCCTTCACTAAACTTGACTGATTTCTATGAGAATCTTGGGCTCATGCTGGTTCCAACAGGTCTTCTGCAGTATTTGTAATGATTGGGATGCAGTTCAACAGATGATTCATCTGAAAAACAAAATCAACCTTCTGCCACTTTTCCAAATGATCCAACTAGAAGTTATTATTTGTTGCTCTTACAACTGGGATCAATGGCAAGACTTTTGTTAGGTAGTGTATGTCTCATTTTTAATATTATATTTCTCATTGCATAGTGCAGTTGTGTCAGTTGCACTATTATAAATTATTCCATCATAAGAAATAAACTAATTATCTACAGTTTTTCAATAAAACAGTTCATGACATTCCTATGCATATAATTTTTTAAAGAGGAAAATGAAGGTTCTCCCATCTCCCATACTGACACTCAAACTATTTTTCATGAGCAAATATCTAATCTTTCAAGCTCTGGCTATTTGGCTACAAGTCAGTGATACACTGGACATTCGATTTGCATAGTGGAGTAGTAGAAAGCCAACAGTTCTACATATGCCATTGAAACACATCTTGTATTAGTTAAAGGTTCCTGAAGGCAGTGAAGATCAAGCATGTTTAATAAGAGCTGAATGAACAAGTGATCCAACAGGTTTGCCATTTGTGTTTGCTGATCATTTGTCAGGTGATCACTGTCAACTATGTAGGAATATGGATATGCTCCCGTCATAGTTTATTTACAAAATGGAACTAAAGGTGGAAAACTAAAGCTTGAAAAGGTAGGGCTTTCAACTTAGTGTTTTTAATTGTGATTTCCTTTTTAAAATTGATGTTTATTAAAGCCTTAAGCTACAAAGATATGTCTTTCTTGGAAAGTGTCGTAACTAGTTCTCAAGATACTAAATGTAGTGTGTTTTTAAAAATTATGCAACGTGCATTATACATAGTATACATTAATGTACATTTATTCAGATTTTCTGTACATATGAATAACGGATATCAGGAATACCTTTATGTCATTCATTTCCAGGGTTGTACATGGCAGAACGACAATATGGTGTTTATGGCTTTGAGTCTTCGACTGCTATTCTCTGAGCAAGTTGAGTATAGTATCTTGGCCATATCAGCTGTGGTTTTCCTTGCAGCCCTTGGCTTTTTGATATGGCAAATTTACCGCTACTGTACACAGTTTCGCGTTTTGCAAAGAGCTGGTAAGTTTTCTTGCAAATTAACTGACTGATTAGTATATATTACTATGAACAGCTGCTGTTTGAAATAATCCTTTTAAAATATGTGCCTTAAATATGCAGTATTGTATAGGAAGTTTGATATTATTTATGATATCCCTAACAATTAAATGTCAGTAAAATGGTTTTATTGTTTTGGAAAGCAATTCAAATTTGAAATAAAAATGGATAATAAGTAATCAAATGTACATTTAAATTATTTATAATGTATAATCACAATAATAATATTATTTGTAAATAATATTTTTAATATTCCTCTTAACTTTCTATTTAAAGAATTTTAAAAAATGATAATGATAATAAACATGTTTCTTTTAGAACCAAATCGGCATATTAAAAAGTTTTCTGAATAATCATGTGACACTAAAGTTTGCAGTAAAGATGCTGACAATTAATTTACATGTTTATTTAATTAAATAACTTCCTTTTCAATGTTATATGAATTAAACAATGAGATTGTTTAGCAGCAAAGCTAATAGGGTTTATGCAAAATACCTATCAAGATCTATTTGATTCCTGTGAATGTTTTATTAACAGATGGCCAGCCAGCTAAAAGAGGAGGTTTTCAGAATGGTAAACAAGCTATGGTAAGAATAATTTGCATAAGCCATCATAATCGTCATTACCTGGAATGCACCTAATATGTGCTGTGTTTACTTCCGTATTTACTGCTTGCTCTAACCAAGATCAAACAACATAGATGAAAAACACGTTTCACAGATGGTTAGCTTAGGTTGCCAAACAGTATGTCTGTATTTCAAAGCATCCAATAAAAGAAAAATGACACCTGATGCACACTCTGCCCATCAGAATAAGGTTCAATATGAGGAACTGAGCCACAGACTGTCGCCCGGCTCATCTTGCACTAACCTGGGCAGCAATTTAGACCTGGCAAGCTTGGAGGATCTGGAGGAGGAGCACATCCAGGGATCTCTGCGATTTTCACTGTTCTACGATCAGCTGCAGTCCAAAATGGTGGTGACAGTACTGGATGCCCAGGATCTGGCCGTAAGAGACTTCAGTCACAGTGTGGACCCTTTTGTCTGGGTGCGTTTAATGTGGGCAGAGAGAGAAGATAAAGAGAAGAACTCAATGCGGTGTTTGCTGCACGAATGGCAGACGCGTATTGTTAAAAACAGCTGCTGTCCTGTGTTTGGAGATCAGTTCTCTTGCATTTTAGCTGAGGATGAAGTATCAAGGGTCACTGTTAGATTTGAGGTATGTGACATGGCTTTTTAGCAAGCATATGTATATAAAGAATTCTGCTTTTTATAAATATTATTAATCTTTTTCAGGTTAGGGATTTTGATAAATACTCAAGACATGGAGTTCTGGGAGAGACCCGTGCTTCTCTGAACACATTGAAGATCTCTTATCCTCTGGAGTTAAGACAGGATCTGCAAGTACCCAGAAAAGTGAGTTTTATCCCAGTGTAGGACATTTAAAAATTATGAGATGATAAGCAGTATACGGTACATATTCTGTGCAGGATATAGTTGGCGAGGCCCTTCTTTCTCTTAAATACATGCCTACATCTCAGAGGCTGGAAGTGGGAGTGTTGAAGATCCACACAGTCTGCTATCATAATAAGACTGAAAGAGGTGAGGAATTTTACAAATACAGTGCGCTTTTTCCATATTTTTTATGGTACAGCCTTGATCCAAAATGAACTCATTTTATTTATTTCCTCAAAAATCTACACACAATACCCCATAATGTCAATGTGATTTTTTTTTTAATTGTTGCAAATTTATTAAAAACAAAACCCCTGAAAAATTACATGTACGTCAGTATTCACATCCTTTGCATGAGGCTCTAAATTGAGCTCAGGTACATGCTGTTTCCACTGATCATTCTTGAGCTGTTTCAGCAGCTTAACTGGAGTTCACCTGTGGTAAATTCAGTAGATTGGACATGGTTTGAAAAGGCATACACCTGTCTAGATAAGGTCCCAGGGTTGACAGTGCATGTCAAAGCACAAACCAAGCATGAAGACAAAGGAATTGTCTGTTGATCTCCAAGACAGTATTGTCTTTAGGCACAAGGCTTAGAAAGGTTACAGAAAAATTTCTGCAAATTAAGCACAGTGGTCTCCATCATCAATAAGTGGAAAATTTTTGGTGTAGTAAAGTTCCTTGTTTTGTGGGAAGAAGAAGACAGGGTCGGCGATATAAGGTAAGTAAGTTCTTTTTATTTTTATAAATGCACAACACACACAAAGCTGTGTGTGTGTGTGTGTGCTCTCCTCTCTCCTGGCTGCTCCTTCTGTTCTTCTTAAGAAGGGTGTCTCTCTGGCCCAATCACTAATAAACTTGTGTTATTTATTATTTCTGATTCGCCTGCTGATTAGCCGCCGGGCTCTGAGCATGCTCTCCACCCTCATGGGGTGTTCAATCATGCTTACCTCTACCACATTTGGAATCACCAGAACTCTTCCTAGAGCTGGCCGGCCATCTAAGCTGAGTGATTAGGGGAGAAGGGCCTTAGTCAAGGAGGTGATCAATAAACCGATGGTCACTCTGTCTGAGCTACAGCGTTCTTCTGTGGAGAAAGTAGAGCCTTATAGAAGAACAACCATCTGTGCAGCAGTCCACCAATCAGGCCTGTCTGGTAGAGTGGACAGATGGAAGCCACTCCCCAGCTGGAATTTGCCAAAAGGCATCTGAAGGACTCACAGACCGTAAGAAACAAAATTCCCTGGTTTGATGAGGCTAAAATTGAACACTTTGGAGTGAATGCCAGGCGTTACATTTGGAGAAAAGCAGGCACCACTCATCACCAGGCTAATAGCATCCCTACAGTGAAGCATGGTGGTGGCAGCATCATGATGTGGTGGATGTTTTTCAGCAGCAGAAACTGGAAAACTAGTCAGGATAGAGGGAAACATGAATGCAGCAATGTACAGAGACATCCTGAATGAAAACCTGTTTCAGAGTGCTCTTGACCTCAGACTGGGGCGACGGATTATCTACCAGCAGGAACATGATCCAAAGCACACCGCCAAAATATCAATGGAGTGGCTTCATAACAACTCGATGAATGTCCTTGAGTTGCCCAGCCAGAGCCCAGACTTAAATCCTATTGAACATCTTTGGAGAGATCTGAAAATGGCTGTACACTGTTGCTTCCCATCCAACATGATAGAGCTTAAGAGGTACTGCAAAGAGGAATGGGTAAAAAATCCCAGACAGGTGTGCTAAGTTTGTGGCATCATATTTAAAATTATTTGAGGCTGTAATTGCTGCCAAAGGTGCATCAACAAAGTATTGAGCAAAGGCTGTGAATACTTATTTACGTGTGATTTTTCAGGGTTTTTATTTTTAATAAATTTGTAACGATTTAAAAAAATCTTTTGTCACATTGTCATTGTGGGGTATTGTGTGTAGAATTATAAGGAAACAAATGAATTTAATCCATTTTGGAATTAGGCTGAATAAATGTGGAAAAAAGTAAAGCCATTATTTGCTTCTCTCCCAATGACAGTTGGGTTTAGGGGTGGGTTTAGGTGCCACGCATCCTCATCAAAATCGTACATTTTCATATGACTTAACTTGAACGAATTAGCCACTGAACTGACGAAATGTAAAATAGTTATGTTTACTCATGAGATCAGGTTGTGCTAACCACAAAATAACATGATTTTGCAATACCAACTATAGTTTACTGCTTTTTGTTGTTAAACTTTGGTTATCCAAATAGTATTCACACTGAAAACATGGTTACTACACTTTTACTAATTAAACTATGGCTAACACTCGTAACATTACACAGTGGATAGCGAGACTCACAAGAAAATAACTCACATTCTCCACCTACTGGTGTAACTTTGTATCTTCATATAGCCTATTTACTTTCACATTCTATTTAACATTAACTGACTTTACTAAATGCTCCAAAATATATATTTAAAAGTTGTTTGAAATTACAGTAAGGTGTTTGTTCAATGTACTCACAGCTCTCTACGCCAGAACTATTGTGACCTGCAACCAGAGCAGACTTCGCCATCAGAGGACAACTCAGAAGAAACGCAGGGAGGTCACTGTGTTTAATGAGGTGATGACCTTTGTGTTGCCAGATCAACAAATTAAAGAGTGCTCCATAGAGGTGTCTGTTTACGAGATTCAGCCTTCAAAGAAGTCCTCCAAGAACCTGATTGGCCACATCCAAGTAAAAAAGAACAAAACAGGTGAAAATGAGCACTGGAAGCAGATGATGCAATCATTAAGGCAACCAGTCGCAAATTGGCATTTAATCTACATCTGATGCACCTTATTGACGCTTCCCATCTCCCGAGGTGGAAGGTCATACTTCCGACTTTTGTTTGCGCTTTCAGGTTGGTTGGACTGAGGAAACAACATATCAAGAATAAATGGTGCTGAGCTTTTTTTTGTTTTTGTTTTTTTTTTGTATGCAAGTTTTAACAGCTCTTGGTTTCCTGGACTCAAAAGATCTCATGTACGCTCTCTAATATTTATTTTTAACAACAAATATTACAGAGATGAAACATGTATATTTGTAACACGATAATGACAACGATGATGATTGCAATTAAACCACATCATAATAAATTGTGCTTGATATTACAGTATATTCTGTGGTGGAAATGACAAGTTATAAAAAATAAATTTGCAATAGTGATAGCGTCTTGCAAAGGTTTTAAAACTGACAGTTCATGCATGTAAACATGTTTACTTTCACTATGTGCTGGCTAATTTAACTAAATAAAAAAACTGCTTGTTTGGAACAAGATGCACAGTAATAACAAAATATTTTATTAAATTATATTATTATACCATTATAAAGTTTACAATTTTAAGTACCAATACAATCCAAGCCTTTCAATTTTCATGAGTCATATGCAAAACTACATCAACACTGTCTCTCTAGTTATTTTATATATTTTCAGTGTCTGTATTATTATCTGTGAGTCAATCTATTTTTAATCATTCATACACACACACACACACACACACACACACACACACACATGCCTACTGAAAAAAAAAAAAAAAAAAACTTAAACCAGCCTAGGCTGGTTTGCCATTTCCGGGCAGGTTTTCAGCCATTTCCAGCCTGGTCTTAGCTGGTCAGGCTGGAAGATGACCAGCTAAAACCAGCTTGACCAGCCTAGCCAGGCTGGGAGCCCATCCTAAACCATCTATGTCCAGCTTAAACCGGGCTGGTCAAGCTGGTTTCAGCTGGTTTTAGCTGGTCATTTTCCAGCCTGACCACCTAAGACTAGGCTGGAAACCAGCCTGGAAGTGGCCAAAACCTCTTTTAAACCAGTTTTTTTTCAGTATGGTTAATCAGCATTTTATAACCATTTAAAACATTTTAACATGGTTATTTACTTGTATTATATAGCTAGGCCTATAATTTTCGTGAGGGTGTTGTTGTTTGCAAAGTTAACGTTACCAACAGTACCCACAAGATGGCTCTCTAAACCCGTAATACTAACAAAGCTAATGTTTTTTACGTCGGTCCTTTGATTAAGCCATAGGCCTAGAGCTGCACAGAAGTCGTCGTTGTTTTAGGTTAAGTTCGTTTAAAATCATTAGCATCCTGACACAAAATTCACACTCCAAACCAAGAGACTTGGGTTATTGTGAGATAGATTTTTGACAGCAAACTCTCACTTTTTTAGACTGAACAGAAAATTTCTTTCCTCTCACCTGTAATCTGCATCTCGTGTCTTTAATGAAAAACCTCACATGATTTGTGCTGCAGAAGTTGCACATCACACATCATCTGTTCCAGCCCACTGAACTGTTTCATGGCTAAAACTGCACAGCCAGACTCAGTCAGCATTGAGGCAGCATGATTAGCATGATGCTAGAATAGCAATGTCTGGATTAGAACAGACCCACGCTGCCATTCAAAAACATAAGCGTGTCACGTTATTTAGTTGTGGCCTGCCTCCAGTTTGTTTGTATGAAGTTACAGGACCAGTCATGAAGACTGCTACAGAATTAAAGCAAACATCACGATTTTTGACTCATAATGAGCTGGCCTGAACAGATGTCACAGCACCTCTGCTCCTCAAGGCCATTCCCAGACATTACATCTCTCTCTCATAGCTCTCTCTTCAAGACTGTTTGCAAAACTGTTCCTCCCACAGCCTGTTAATGAAAGTCACGATGGGATTTGGGGGGAAAGGGTGAGCATGAGAAATCTGGGGCCTTGAAGGGTGGAATACATTCCGCCTTTCTCATCTTTATGTTAAAATCACAAAGACGGACAGCAGGGCTTAGAGATATAGCCTAATGGACAATTCACCTCACCTAAACTTTGATGTCTTTGAGTTTGTATGTATAGCAGCCTCTTAATTTTAAAATAATTAATTGTTATTGATTGAAATTAAAGGAATTGTTCCCACCTAAATTAATATGCATAGCTATTTAAAGTTTTCTCAGATATTGTAAAGTGTTAATTTCTCAAATTTTAATAGTGGGGTCATTCCTACTATTCGGTACTATTTGCGTCCCCAAGGCATTATGATACAGAATATTTAAAAATGCAATTAAAAAATTCCTTAAAGCTTGTCTGATAGATTATCCCATTTCCACAATAGAACACAATAATAAGACCTAAAAATTAAATTAAATTTAAAATATTTACTTTGATTTCATTGCAATGAGCTGAATTGCATGTCCCAGGTCATGTACGCTTATGATCAGTTACAAATATGGGCTAACTTCGAAAAGTCTAGTAAATGCTAGACTTTTCATGTATTTTGTATTGTCATATATATACAACATCTCACCAAATAATATTTTTTGAATAATTAAAATATGTTAAAAAAATTTTTTTATTAATGTGTGTCTTTGTGAAATGAATGTCCTCCCTGTTACTTTAATTGTAATCGCCATAAAATGACCACAGATTGCTCCTCTAGTCACATGATTTTCAGGAATTCTCACAATTTATAAAGAGAAATTGTCTACAAGAAGCAGAGTTATTCTATCTTTTCAAGAGTTCACACTTAGCTGATGATTGATTATAAAGCTTGTTTGGCATGCTGTCCCGGGAGAGAGCCCTGAGCTCAGATCCTCGAGCTTGGGGCTCCCTCCCATTTGCAGGGCGAGAGGGGAGTTTTAGCTCAGGTAGATCTTGAGAACTCTCCTGCTGTAGTAGCTAATGAACAGATAGTGGTTGCTGTTAAGAGATAACTACTTACTAGGAGCACGTCTATGGTGGCGATTTGGATTAGTCAATTAACTTAAATTGCATGTTTTTGGACGATGGGAGGAAACCGGGGAACCCGGGGGAAACACAAGTGAGCATGGGGAGAACTTTGGGTATTTATAGTGTCTTAGGAATCGTCTGATTGATGAGTCATAAATTGAATAATGCAGGGCCAGCTACAAGCAACCATAAGCAGTTGATCCTCTCGAAATTAGTTCACAAATAAACTTCACTTATTTTCAACACACAACATTTCAGATTAGGTTTCTGTTGTGGTAAAGCATAACACATCCACCATGTTACCCATTTTACAGGGGAATCAATATACTTTTTTGTAATTTTGAGAAATACAGTTATTAAACATGTTTCAAATCTTTCTTAGGTCATCATGTGCTTGCCTGATGTTCACCATATAAGTAATGCCTGGGTTTTGCAAAAAATGTCACTCCTGTTACTGTCCACCCTGTTACTGTTTTTATTAAATATTGCACTGCATCTATGGTATTGCTATTTATTATTATAAAGTTATTTTAGCATTCATTATTAAAGGATTATTTGATAAAACTAATATATTTTAATGGTTGAAATTAAATGAGTAGCCCCCTCCAAAATTAATATGCAGACATTATTAAAGTGTTCTCATATATTGAAAAAAGATAATTTCTCACATTTTAATCGTGAGCACTAAATTAGAAAACTGGAGTGACTTCCATTACAGGAATAAATCTTCATTTTAAAATTCTAATTATTTTAAATGTTATTATTAACAGTATTTTTAAAAATTGTTTGACTGTAATAATCAAATTAATGCACAACACTTATTTTAAAAACACTTCAAATGGTCATGTACATTAGATACTAAATCAAATTAAATCGTTCAGCTCTGCTAAACAATAAACATTTATTTATTGAAGCTCTCCGTGAAAAAGGCATACAATTGGCTAATATAACTATTTAACTCCAGCCACAGAAACCACCTAGAAAAGTATTAACTTTTAAGTATTAACCGGCTGGGTCAGTTGATATTTCTGTGTGAAGTTTGCATGTTCTCCTCATGTTGGCGTGGGTTTCCTCTGGGTTTTATCCACAGTCCAAAGACAGGTGAATTGTATAGGTGAACTGAATAAATTGACTGTATTGTATGTGTGTGAATAAGTGTGTATGTTTCCCAGTACTGGGTTGCAGCTGGAAGGGCATCCGCTGCGTAAAACATATGCTTGATGAGTCGCTGTGGCGACCCCAGATAAGTAAAGGGACTAAGCCGAAGGAAAATGGATAAATAAATGAAAGCTAACAAACACATATTTACATTTATTTTAACTTCTTTGATTATCACAGCTCCATCACAATTAAATATTCTTCCCACTATATTTAGACATTAAAATTAGATCATTGTAGCCATAGTGACTTTTCAGACATTGTTTGACAGTTTATTTCAGTTATTGACAGTCTAACTGAAATTGTAAGTTGAATGTATTTCCTTTAAATTTACAGTAAATAGTTTCAATAGCCTGAGGGAAAGTATTTCTAAAATTAACACTTAAAACAATAAGTTCACCATAACTGTAAATGATCTCATATGTCATTCTGATTTTATATGTTTGTTTCGTGTAATGCAAAAAGACATTAAAGAATGTTTGTCAGAGGGTTTTTTGAGCAAACAGTTTTGCGCAATGGAACTAAATGGGAAGTCAATAGGAACTAAAAAAAAGTCTGATTATGAACACTCATTTTTTAAAACAGAAGAAAGTTTCTTGAGCGTAGATAAATAATGACAGAATTAATATTTTGGCGTGGACTGTCTCTTTAAACTCATTCTTTTATTTTCTTTTTAGTGTAGTCCCTTTATTTATCAGGGGTTGCCACAGCGGAATGAACCACCAACTTATTCAGCATATGTTTTACACAGCGGATGCCCTTCTAGCTGCAACCATCACTGGGACAGTCCCTTTAAACTAAATGCTTTAAATCAATTTATTTTAATTTGTTTTATGAGCACATTATGTCAAGATTCAGCCCAGTTCTGATTGTAGAAAGCCTGTTCATATTTGAGAAATCTTAGAACCTGTTGGGCCAGTGGGCATTTCTGTGTGGAGTTTGCATGTTCTCCTCGTGTTCACATGGGTTTCCTCCAGGTGCTCCGTTTTCCCCCTCAAGTCCATAGTTTATGTGTGTGAATGAGAGTGTGTGAGTGTTTTCCAGTGATGGGTTGCAGCTGGAAGGGCATCCCATGGATAAGTTGGCGGTTCATTCTGCAGTGGGAACCTTTGATTAATAAAGGGACTAATCCGAAAAGAAAATGAATGAATGAATATCTGACTCAACCACTTGAATAAAAATCCTGTTTCTTACATTTCATATCAGCA